ATAAAAAATAAAAAATTCAGTGAAAGCTGCATAAATGGACGTTCCATCAAGCGGGCATCTCCATTAAACATGCAAATTTTCCGGTTCCATAATTTGTTGATGTTCATTGAGTACAACCTATTAAGCGGACAACTCTATTAGTTGGACAGAAATACAATTCGAAATCTGTTTTAAATTTGTTATTTTTGCCAATGAAATTAATTTACCTTGCACTTGGATTCTTATACCGACAAACACGTTTCGTAAATCTCGCAACTAACAGCTCTAATGTGAATTTTACTTATTTGATGTAATAAATCACCAGAACGCTTTGACATAGAACCGCTATTTGTGTTGCTYACAGTAACTTAAAACATTCTTCTCGACCAAAAAATGATCTCGAAAATTTTTGTGCGACTATTTTTTTTAAAATGCGATGTGGACTAAGTGGATTCAGCAACACTGCAGAGATGACTTTAGTTCAAGCTTTGATGATAAACCTCTATCAAAGACCAGTGTTTACCGATTGTGYGGTGAATTCAATTGAGGTCATAAATCAGTTCGAGACAATCTCGTGAAGGTTGTCGAAAATCAGTCGTTGTACCGGAAGTTATTGATGCTGTGCAYAAACTAATATTACCAGATAAGCGTGGGACCTACCTTGAGATAGAAGCAACTAAAGGTATAAGAAAGACCCGCGTGAATATTTGGCTATAAAAAATTCGATGTTGGATCCCAAATACTGTTTGTCGATCACTCAAAAAATATGTGCTTTGGAACACGTCTATGAAATCGTGAGGGATGATGAAGAGTGATCGGTCGACTAAATTGGTGTTTAGAGGATGAGTTGAATCCAACAAAAGTTTGTGAAATGCAGAACAATAAATGTTGAGTGATACACAATAATCTATTTACCAGAAGGCTCGCACGTATCAACTGTAGCACTTAATACACCGTAACGAAAGGCGAGGTGGTTCCTAAGACGTGGAAGAACCCRATAAATTCCAGACCGCGTTACTATTAGAAAATGTTTCTAATTTTGYGTTATTAAGATGCCTTAAAACTGGACTGATACTTTTTGTATAAAGTGAGCCATAGTTCGAAAGTATTCATATTCGATACACCGGACTTGAAAATTTTAACACAACTTTCAAAATGTTCGCATGAGACTTTACACACACCATTAGTAATTTTTGAGCTAAGTTTTATTCCAATATCTTCCTTCATTGCTGTTTCATAAATTCGTTCTGGTGGGCGTGGTCGAATGTCAAATTGTCAAATGTTTTTAAGGTTTAAATTTACTTCAATAACAGCCATGCATACCATATGATCAAATTTGACCCGGACTGAACCTACTTRATAAATAATTTTAAAATATATTGGTGTACATATATCAATTAGTGTATATTTGTTGGCAGCTATTTGGCCGGCGACTCTTACCATGAAACAAAAAATGCCGAAAAGAGTTTGCTTGAAAKTTTGAGCTTCCAATGAAATCACGGTTACATGATAGGTAAAAATATTTAATGGTGTTTTCGAGAGTCTATTTTATCACGAACACAACTATTTTAGTGGCACAAAGTGTTCCGTGAAAGTCGTCAAGTCATCGAAAACTTGCCACATGCGAGCCATCCACCTCTGTTAATAACGACAACATAGAAAATGTTAAAAAAAACAGTGCCAGCAGAGCATCGCGTTAGCATTAGAAAAATATCAGAAGCCATCAACTTGTATTATAGATCGACTCAACATATTTTGGCTAATATTTACAGCATGAAGCGTATAAATAGCTACCTTAATTGAAGAGGTATCGGCATACCCTTTTGAACGAACTCAACTCGGTAACACTGTCGTTGCTTTTATAAGTGATTTTTTTTACAAAGATTACGCACAGAGAAATGGCGAATCGAAGACGGATAAAGCTAGACTTGTACCAAAATATCAAGATACATTGTCAAAAAGGAATTCGAGTATCCGAGGAATAAGTACACTGGTGAGAGACGTCACAAGGCTTATGAATATGACATCGAAGATTACCCAAAAATTAAGTATTCGCTTTCCAAAAATGAGCCGAAACTAAAAAAAAAAAACTGTAAGGTGAATTGGATTAGGCGTTGACATGGTCGCATTGACTTAGAACGTTATTTTAAAGATCAAACTAAAAATTGGTTTAAGAATATATGYGTGAAAGTGTGTGGTTTTTATTAGTTTTWTTAGTCCGGGTCAAATTTGATCACTTGATATAGTATGTTACAAATATTCATAACTTCATATAAAAGTGTAAATGAACGGCACATATTCCTAAAACTGGACAAATTAATATAGTCGTAAGCAATTTTTGTTTGACTTCATATAAATCACTTGTCAACACTGTATATCATAGGTTTACATTTGCTTACATAGGCCATATCTTTTTCTAGATTTCTACAACTAAGTGTTTACATTTTACTTATTGATTGATAAGAAAACGAAAACCTGTTGACTCCGTATGGTAGCATTACAACAATTATTTGCTGAACCAATTAAATATGATTACAGAATGTTTTCTCTAAACTAGTATTRCAACGAAACATTTTATCATCGGTTTAATTATGATTGATATCGATATATAAAGACCACAATATGTCGAATAATTTGTATAAAAACTAGCTACAATAGCAAAGCAAATCATTATTACAGTTATAACCGAACTAAAGAGTAAAACATGAAATTCGCAACGAGCGCTCTATTAATGGTTGTAMTGCATTTCGCAGTTAACCAGGTAAATAAATTATATTGCTGAATACCTGCCTATACGAAAAGTGAAAATTTTATCTCCTAACCACAGGCAAGCGTCTTACCAGCAGCTCAATTGCACGCCGACAAGTTTTCCGATGGAGTCGATTCGGCAATCGCCGCCTCTAAAAGTGTTAGAAGCGCGGATTCTCAACCGAGAGAAGTTTCTACCGACATCATCCCAACTAGTAGCCCAACCGGAGTTGAGACCGAWTCCGATTGCTTGGATATGTACACACAATCAATTGTTGCCTTATCGTCCAAGAAACAAATTGMATTTAACAACATATTCGATTGCGTGTCTCAAGGAAATTCGTATTCGGTGTGCGATGGTAAATTTGGTTCGACCATAAAAGAAATTAATTCCCGTATCTCAGCGCTAAACCAAAAATTTCAAAAGTGCTTGAAGCATTTGARTAGTTGATAATAATACTAACCACTTTCGCACATAAAAAAAGATGCTCATATGTTTTAAATATATAATAATTTTAATKTATTGTTYACTTAATACGTATTTATACAAAATATAATGTTATATTCGCAAGCCGGATGTACGAAGCGAGTGGATATGCTTTACAAAYCGGACCGCTGAGCGTGGTGGAAGATATTGATGTGGCGAATGTCTTGTTGAATGTTGATGAGCACAGTGTCTGCTCGAGTGTTAACGTGTGAATTGTATGGATCGAATTGAGCCTCTCATCCCGATGTCCATCCTTTTTGTTGAGTAGGTGCAGGTGTGGYGAGTTGTGTTGGTGTGGTGTGGTGATGTAAGTCTATGGTGCCACCTAATGTGGTGTATTAAGCTGTCTTGCTAGGGTGTGCCAGTTTTTYCCCGGCAGAGTGTGGTATACAYGCGGGGAGAYGCTTAARTCATTTAAACAGCATTAACTTAAAAAATTTAGTTATTTTATTATTTATTTAATTTTAATCGATTTTTATTATCTTCGTCTAATTAATTCATGAATTTGTGGGTCGGTTTCAAA